TTTTTGTTTATCTATTTGTATCAACCGAGCCATTAGGTTGTAATTATTACCACAATGATAATGGATGTTAACATTAACCAACAAACTCGAGCAGTGATGAGTTCAGGCGGCCAATAACCAACACAAAGAGTAGTAGTATATATTGGAAACTATGATATTACCTGTTTCACAGACCTCTTGCTATCAATTCATACTGTCCGAGGAATGAGCATTAAATAGGGCCAAAATAAAGCTTTCGTTTAATTCACATGTTCGACAGGAATTGACAGTGTTACTACCAAGATGTGGTATCAGAAATTAGCCTTATCATGCCAGGACAAACGTTCTGAATTATCTTGTCAGTCGTGAACGTCGCAGATGAAGTAAAGTTTTGAAATACGTAGACCAATCAACATTCTGGACAGTTTGGATTCATTTCAATAAAGCCTAGACTAAACATACTCAGGGCAATTCAGAATTTATTTTATCAAAATACAATTACTGGTGATTTTATTGGGTGTTGATGTTGATAAAAATTCAGGAATTTACAACACGTGTTTACAGGTAAGATACTACCCACGTGAGGTTATTGAACAGATAAAGTCAGTAAAAAGTCATGGTAAAATATTTATGCTGATAAGCAAACAACCCAACAAATGAGTTTTGTGGACACATAATACAGTACCGACACATACAGTCATAATCTGTTCAAAAATAGCACATCGTACAAACTGTAGCCTTGGAGGACACACATCTGCTCCAGATTTCACTTTTGAGTGTTAAATTGGTGGTGCCAAGAGAAGCGGAGGAAAAAACAAGTAGAAATGAGGACAAAAATTCATTAATCAAACCTAGTGTTTTACTATAGGGTGGTTAATTTATGTCTATTTGCAGGAAGAACTCAAATCAACTAAAGAAAGAGCTTTTGATAAACCATAAGAACTAAATGCAGTGTTGGAAGAATTGTAACAGGGGAACATCCCTCACTTAGTGGAAGAAAAGTGAAATTTAATTTCGAAAAATTAACAGTAACAGAAATTGTTCAAGTTGCCAATTGATTTTATTGCCATAGCCTTTACGTATCAGTTGCTCTTACTTATCGTTGTTACCAAATGTCAGCCGTTGCGTCTGAGCTAAAGCGTCTGATAATTCAAGTGATAGGACGACCTGGTAACACGACAAAACCGACTTAAAGTGGAGAACGCGAGTTTAAGAGGCAGCGGACATGGGAGAACAACCTCAATATATCTAGAATAGTCACCTCGCTACCAAACATAAATAACAGAAGACAACCGTACATGTTAGAAAATTTAATTTTTCGAGTAAATAATCGGAAACATTTTCATTAAAAATTTTATTCTGCCCACCTTTTCTCTGCTGTGAAGTCAAAGGCACTAAATGTAGGGCCTGTTCACTGGATCTGGGTGAGATAGGTCAAGTGATTACCATATGGCATGACATCGACAGAAAGCCAATTTAGTTGGGCAGTTGCACTATTCAGGCTAAGCCACATGACTTTTGACGGCCAAGCAAATATAGACTACCAGACCCTTTGTCCACCAAAATATTTTTACGACGAAGTCACATGAATAAGGCACTACTTATCACGGGAATTAAAAATATGAATTCTTTACTCAAGATCAACATTCCAGTTGGTACCCTATGATTTCAGAATCTGACCATTTTCGTTTTCAAAGTTATTACATAGAGAACATTCTACGAAATGCTACTCCGACGAATACCTCTAGAGCCCCTGACTGTCAGAAACACAGACTCTCCTTGGTTGAAACAATTGCAGTTGTTCACCTTTTGTCAGTGCTGATTAAGTGTGTAGTGTGCAGCATTTTTGAGTATTTTTCTGTACAGTTAATAGATGAGTGCTGCATGTAAAAGTGTAGTTATCACCTGAGATTCCATTTGTTATGTATAGTAATACAAACTATGCAGAATAATTGTGCCCTGATATCGCTGGCTAACGAGTTTACTGCTCTATGTAGAAGAACACATTGCTTAGGTTCTATCGATTTACTCTCGTATTATTGGGCTGTTTTCTTCCTCCAGGCCAAATGTTACAATTTAGACACTTGCAGTGGGTTTTGTACGTAAACCACTGATTTATTCAGCAGAATAAATAAATCTTCTGCGACCTTCACGACAGCATGTACACTGTGAGCGTAAAAATAGGTGTTGACACTGTTTGTTATACAATTCATTAAGCGACTGGTTCTAAAATGAATCAGTTAGGTAATATAATAAAATTCCTTTCGTGTGAACTGCATATTAATAATCCACGTAGTGGATGCTTACTTCAGAATAAGTGAGAATATATTTGCGATAATATTCGCTCTCAAAAGGTGTACAGGATTGCAGCCTGTTTCTATTTCAACAGCCTCCAGCTCTTTGTATGTATATTCATAGAATTGCCACTACTACTTGCTTGTCTGACAATTATTTATGTCTCAGACGTAGTCTTCAATTTGCCGATTATGTTCCTTTGAACTATATCGTTGTGTATCGTCTTGGCCAAAATTAGTAATGTTAAAACTGACAGAATTTTCAAAAGACTTCAAATCAAGTTATGCTTAAACATCATCCGGGGCAAGATCTATTTGTGTTATCACAACCAATCATAATCATAAAATTAACGTTTTCTTAGTGACCACCCGGATTCTGAACTATTTCAAGCAATGATCTCGTCAGAATATGCTTTGTCTTTTTGAGAAAATAGCTACTCATTAAAATGGGGAACGTAATAGTGTTATAAAGCCGAGAACTCTTAAATGCGAAAACTTGGCAACCCTAACTAGCCTAATAGACTCCCCAAATCTAAAGGTGTGGGTGGATGTATAAACTCGGATCAGTTTTCCGTGTACGACTCAGGTGGAAGCGCAGGGAATAAATATGGATGACCACGTTGAAATATATCTTAAACAATGTGACTTGAGTCGTTTAGCCAAATAGAAAAAGTCGTATGCTTACTGCAGTGACACCTGTAACTTCACATTACGGCTACTTGCTGTCACATGACGAGGCGAGCGCCGAAATTCACTTGCATTTTTGATGCATTCTATTGTACTAGTTCTTTCTCAACAGCACCTGGTCGATGGAGGTTCCGTTTCATTCGACCCTCAGTCTTTGTGACAGCAACGTTGATTCTCAGCTCTTCGACACTGACATCGCGATTACCCTAAACCAATCGTCCCTTGTCTAAATTGAGGTGCTGTTACGTTCACGTTTTCCGTTCTCTTCCGTCATTAAACCATGGTATATCTTCAAGTCTTTAGGTTCCCGGAGCAAAGGCGCATGAAGGCTACATTTTTTTGTGTTCTCACAGTTATCATGTTGTAAAGTCTATGGACTTTATAATAGACCAACCTTTTGATGTTGCAGGGATTTTTGACAGTCGATTCATCTTTTGTTGGTTGTATTTCTTGTATAATCTTTATTTTTTTAGTTGATAGCTCGCAGGACAAATTGAGCTAACATATCCCTTATATTTACAAGGAGCAATTTTCGTTGACAGACAAGAATATTCTTTCATGTGTGACGATCGGAGCCTTCCATGTGCTGTCAAGATTGTTGTCTATGCCAATTAGACAAAGCATTGTTCAGGTATACTTAGTTTCGTTCGTACCTGCATTTTTTCTAACTGTACCTCTGTTGTAACTTTTTTGCTCCTTATTACGTCTTGATGTAGTTGAAATCTCGCAAGTAGATCAAACTGATCTATTCAGTAGGCTAAAACCGTGTTCTTTGCGTTTACAGATGTATCTTTATGTTTTTATAATTAGCATTTTTATACCTCCAATAACATCAATTAGCCGTATAGTCTGTCTCATAAAGCTGTTCAGGTATATTGTGTTACTTATACATCAACTTACTTTACGTTCTAGCCATATTGTTCAAAATATATGTCTAGAGAGTTAGGTCTTACAAACTGAACTTCGGAACCGAAGCATCTGCAGATAGTACGACAGCAACCCGTGGTAAATGGGTTGTACTTGTGCTCCCTTAAGGTCAAAGTTGTGCCATCAAATTTCAAAATTCTGGACGGATGCGATATGTCTCCGAAGAGGTTGCAAAAGATGGTTTCTTAAATTTTTACTTATTTTTGTAGCGACATTTTAGAGTACATTTACCGGATTTTGATCCCTGTTAGAAAATTCGTCCAAGTAGTAGGTGTACCTTTCAAATCGTCCTATTTTGAAGCCTGTAAAGTCTCCAATGAACCACTGGATACTTGTGATTTCTAGTAGACACTTGTATAATAGGATGGGTGGTCAATAAAACTTATCAAGATTTCGATGCTCAGACTCTGAAGATTGGCAAACATGGTGAAACTGAAGACAGAACGAACTTGAATGATTCTCAGAATAACGATGGGAAATTTTCAAATCGTCATGTAAAAATAATTAAAGGTAAAAAGATATGAAACATATGACAGATCACCTCAAGTCTGTGAGTTTTAAAGAAGATCGAAGATTAATGAGGTGGCGCGATACTTCATAAACAAAAACATGAAGTCCTAATTGGTGTCTTGTGTGTTTGAGTGAAATTCGTCCATTCATATGACTTCGAAGAGCCCCTGCATTATGTATCCCCTCAGTTTGCATTAAAAACCCTAACCATGGGACTGGATCGTAATTCTGAACGACCTTAATCCTTTTAGGTCAATAAAGAGACAATAAGTGTTAGTTACCTACTACACTAAGATCAGGGCCTAGGATATAGAATCTAAGACTATTGCATTGTAGCTCATGTCAGTTTGTGGTAAAAAGAAAACTATAGCCTTAAGCCCCGATGCTATATCTTAACACTACTTCCTAACCCTATTTTGTCAAACGCCCCGTGTCCTTTAGGTGACTCACAAATAATTAGTTTCAGTGGTTTATTTCAGCTTCACTGCCAACACTTATCTCGTGTAATTTTATTACTAGTTTATTTGAAAAGTTCCGTACCTGAATACTCTTCGGGGTTAGTGAAAACATTGCGCAAGGTCATCAATATGCTTTTCATATGCCAGAGGTAAGTTTAAATAAGTCACTCGGGCTTGGGGGTGGTGTTGCGGTAGCCACCTTAGGATTAATAGAGTCCTATTTTACCTAGCAAATTCCACCTGCATATTAGTTGAGCTATCTTACTATGTAAAATACAGCTTTGTGAACCGTTTGGACTTAAATGTGTAATCCGATTTCAGCAAAATCAAATTATTTCTTTGTATTCTATACATCAAAATCAGATCACCACTTTTTCTAAAATAGGAAAAAGTGGTCTAGCTTCTCATACACATAGTGGCTTGAAAAGCTAGACTTTACTCTGTTCTGCCGCAGACTAAGAGATCATCTGATTTTAATGTACAGAACAATAAGAAGTGATTTTGGACCTGCTAGATCTTTTTTCTTCTTACGTGATTCGGACAACTTAGAGAATATAAAAGGCGACTATAGTAGCCAAGAACGGACAAAATAATCACAGAATACAGGTTTTAACAATGAACCATCGATTCTTGGAACCTGTTACCCGAAGAAGTGTCCGCTCCTTCATTTGACTCATTCAAGAGAAGACTAGACACTCAAAAGTTTACTAGAAAAAGATTAACATAGACCGCATGCTTTCCGTCCTAGTAGCACAAATCTAGAGCTAAACCAGTGAAGCTATGATGTGGCAATCAAAATATTTGTTTTTGAACTAACACAGCTACATTTCGTTTAGGTGGTTAGATACTATGACATCAAGTTTTTACATCGGTTTACAGTAGAAGTTTCACAAGCTAGAGTTAATCCTTCCCCTAAAGCACTCATACAAGCGCCTAGGATTATTCTCGCTTCCAAAACTCAATATGGTTCAAGTTTTGAAGAATACATATGCCAGTTCAGCTGAGTTTAAAGTGCTGACGCTTGAGCACAAGTCAATCTGCCATCGACAGTTCGAAGTTGACGTGGAAACAGGTTGTAAAGTTGTTATTTCGTCCTGATAAGGTCTCATGGCATGCACATCCTTCGTTTAATATACAAGAAAACATCCACGACGCTACTTTCCCTACATGCTTTTTTCCAGAAAACTATTTAACTGTATATACACTACTCTAGTCTCGTGTTACCATAAATTACACGTGACTTCATTGCCAATAAAACCGTCCGGCAAATGACGAATACGTTTGGTGGTCATTCATTTGTTTTTAATACATATTGTCAATACAAAACTGATTAACCACTAGGAAAGATTTGGGTATGGAAATTCAAACTGCCTATACTGATGGATTATCTCAAATACTTGAGTTTTATATTAAGTATCGAGGTCCAGTGTGGAATTATCAGGAGTAGGTTGTTAAGCACGATCTATGTCTCCAGGCAGTTTAGAAGTTTCGATAACCTCTCATCCTTAAATACAACAGAACTTCGCTAGTATTCTCAGTATTTAACCATCTGAATATCTTATAAATGTTTACTAGTAAATCTAATGTTTTTTGTATCTAGTAAAGGATCTTATGTTGTGCTCTTTTCTTATACTGGGTTCTTTTATCATCTAAGTTAACTGTCATTAATAATTCTGTTCACATTTCCATAAGCCTTTCTCATGACATCCAAATTTTTAGTCAGGAGCCGGGTTTTACACGACATGGTTCGTCTCCTGGAAAATGTAAAGTCCATTTTGTTACTAGTGTAATATTTTCAGATTATCTTTATCACAGAACATGAAGGTGTAACAAAAAGTCTTGTCACTTTTGTTGAACAGTTTAAAAATTCCAGTATTATCATACAGCTGGATCCTGTTAAACTCATGGAGGAACAGTTTATTGCAGGATTTTGTCGACGAGGTATGTTGAATCTAAAAAGAAGTAATATTAGTGATATTAAAAATATCAGTTAATGTGATTTTTCTTTTCAATTTACAAGATATGGAAAGTCAAAGTATGGTGCATATAGATCTGTGCTGTGGAATGCATTGCACGTTTTAATTGCTGATAAAACTATGTGGTTATCAGACGAGGCTAAGTTAGATAATCTAACTAGTTTCAACCATCTTATAAGGTAAACGCCTTTTAAAGATAGTGTTCTTGAAATGCACAAGCTAAAATTTGACGAAAGCTACTGGGGTTTTCTTTGATAACCATACACGGATTTGTAATAATTGAAGTGGTTTCTTATTTTAGTAGTGTCTGTTGGCTTGTGACTCGGCATTATGGCTTTCACCAAGTTCTATTCGATACCTACATAAATCCTTACATATTGATCGTATTTTTGCCATCCCGCATTTTGCTAGTACCCGGTAACAAATATACTCTTAGTTATTTCATTTAACTTCGCGAAACTTGGTATTATCACCATATATTTTAGTGTCATCACAGTTTTTATAACATGGCGCTTCATTTTCAAAAATGCTCTTAAACTAATGTCGTGCTCATTATTTTTAGTCCGCGTTTGTAACATTCGAGTCTCATCTAATATACGCCGCATTATCTGCATATATCTGAAGGTATTCGTTTTATAGTGTCCCTATTATTTAAGAAACCAGTAACGAATACTGACTGAGGTATATTTATTTGAGGTTATCAGTTACTTACGGGTGTACTGACTCAATAAACCGATCTATTTTCGAAATCCAAATAAATTATCCCATTGTCAACTGACTAAATTTTATAGTCAAGATATGACTATAAGTTATTTTCGGATAACGGTCACTTAGTTAAAGATGAAAGCAAATCTCAGTGATCAGTTAGCGGATTCCCCATCAATTTCCAAGATACATTTTTTAAATATTGTTTCAGTTTATCTTTACTAACTGCATAATTCTACACATAAATATGGAACCAGTAGTCCTTTTCTTCCGCAAGAAGTTCTATGACAATAAAAAAACTGAAGAATTTATGTAAATAGCGCAACTACTGGCTAAGAGGTGGTAGGTAAACAGAGACTATGAAATAAAGTTGTTAAAATTGGTTGTAAACGATTAATCGTAATACAGCAGTCTCTTACTTGAACTGTTTAAATATTTAATAAGTGGGCAAGAGATTAACTGCATATTCTTCGATCCTCTGACTAAACTATTTCTTTTAATTATCTTAACCCAGAAAACTTGTCTGTATAATACAAGTTTTATGTTCACTTCAGGATATTTTACTATCCTGTGATCCTTTAATGTTATATTTTAGGAGCTGTTACAGTTCTGCCTATAAAACCATTGTCGGAGTTTGGTCTTTCTATTCAAAAGTGTAAGTCTTTTCCTATCCTATTTAATTTATTGACCTTCATCTTTTTCTGATCAGTGGTTATATATAATTCCGTATAATTTGCTCTCTACATAGTAATCAAATAGTAAAAAGATCACCAATAGATTGAAAGACCCAATGGCAAATAATACTTTTTCAACAAGAAATGAGTGTTTTTATTCATTAATTTAAAAGATAATCCTGGGACGTTATAAACGACAGGTTCTAAATTTAAGTCACAGTAAAAAAGTCATCCCTTACCGTGTTTCTAGCTCATTTAATTGATGAGTGTTGGATAATTTAAGATGTGCTTTCTAGTTTTCAGTACTCATTACTACCCAGTACAATAATTAGTCAAGTTTTAGGTTCCTAATGAAGAAATCACCATTAATGTCGAAAATACAGAACATTCACAAATGCTATAATAAGGAAATCTGATAGTGGTTACGATTGTAGAGGAATAAGTAAAAGGCTACTCATGAGTTCAACTCCAAAACAGGGTGTATGAGGTGTTGACTCCGTTAAAACTCTGACCACTTCTTCACTCTATTTTGTTATAACTATCCACTAAGTGTTTCCAGTACATGAAGGTTTGCTTCTAAACGGAGTATACTGGTCAATGAAGCGATTTTAGTGCAACTCCAGGAACTGCTGCAGTCGTTGTGCCAGTATATTCTAAATTTTAGTATGTAATCCACAGTTCTATCTATTCTATGTATTGCTGTAAGAAACAACAGCCAAAAGCAAAATACATGAATCCACAAGTAATTTAGTGTATCTGTCTTCAAACCGTTGTCTACCAACCTTCTTCATTAAACGGTTGTTGGGCATGTCACGTGTATCCAACTCTGAGTACAATGCGATAATCCTTGATTTACGAGTATCTCTTAAGCCAACGATAATCAAAACTGTGACGAAAAACTCATACATTTTGTCAGGAATTTTATTTTGTACTCGCACATGAAACATGACTTAAATCAAGTGCACATGCAAATCAATTAGATGAATGCATATTCTCAATTGTTCATAATGTATAAAAACAATAAAAATTTGGTTATTAAAATCCCGAAGATCCATTTAGCAACACACAAAGAGAACTGCTATACAGTAATATATAAGGCTATGAGATAGAGTAAGTGTATCGAAGCAGGCAACATAAGAGTTTTATACTTACATAGTATTATCTATCATTTGTAAAAAATTTCAGTTACCTTAATTGTGTCCTCATAAAGACTAAACACTTCAATCGAAATTATAAGAAAGTGCACGGTTATGTCTTTTCAAAAAATATGTTAGCTCATGATTGGCATATTTATAAAGTCTTAGTCCGCAGACAGGTTAAACAGTGGCACACTTTTGCGGAGCTGCTTCTTGTATATATCTAATAAAACCTGTGAAAATCTATTCTATGTGCAGTGTATGCTACTTATGTCGACAGACAATTCGCTGGAGCGCAGGCATTGAATGTGGACATCGGATTTTGATGGCCCGGTGGGTCGACGGAGCTACGAAGGTCAGCGTACCGCAGAATCAACATTTTGACAGGGAGTGTGGCACAAACTAGTAAAGGTGGTACGGCGAGCAGAACGACCGTTTCAAGTGGGGGCTGGTGTGACGTATGCTACTTATGTCTGTCAATATGAGCAGTATGTAACACCAATCAGAAGTGGAAAACCTAACATCAGAAGGCTAAGAAGATTGAGTCGAGGAGAATCGAGGGGAAAATAGAAAGGAATCGTGGACTTGAAGAATCATACGTATTGTGAAGGACAAAGGATGAAAATTTCTAAGTGGAGTATTCAGTGTATGGTTTTCATATCTTATTAAGAGATTCTGTAATTTTGTATTTAAATACAATCGGTTATCACCACCTGTATTCTCGTTCACTACACATATATGTTTTTCAGTGGTCATTATTATTACTGTTTCACGTTATTCGAGTTAACTGTATATCTGACCAGTTTATTTTGACATTAGTTGTAATATTCTGAAAGCTATAGTCTCATCAAATTCTTCCTTTTTAAAAAAATACTTCTCAGAGTCGTTGTTTTTACTTATTCAAACATCGAAGAAAAAACTAACACTAACCTTTTCTACCCAATTGTTATACAGGCAAATTACTCTTGTTTTGTGATTCATTATGATACTTTCCAGCTATTTTAACCCTGGACATGTCTCCAGTTGTGTACTCTGGTTTTGGATTATCCGCTAAAAAAGTTAAACAAGAAAAGAAGAAAGTTTTCTATCGTGAGTTCTTTTGTATTTCCTGGTCATATTTCTCGCATCACTGACGAAATTCCTTACACATTCTATACTAAGTAATTCATCTTTTTTGTCTGTCTAAATAGATTTCCATAGAAACTATAATTTTTCGTAGTTTTCGCCAGTTCAGTAATTTGGGCCCCAATCCCTCTACTACGATTTATGCAACCGGAGACCAGTGTTTTTATGTATTTCTTCATTTAGTATAACAATACAATTTACCTGATCAGTTTATTATACGTGACACTGCACTAGATTAAAATCAACACTTAAAAAGCAGGCAACTATCCACAAAAAATAGCAGTGAGTGTCTAAAATATCTCAGTGACCTTTTTTAAATTGGAAGCTGAAATAGTTAAACATTCGTCTTTTAACGCAATAGTCCATCTAATCCCTGGTACGACCGACGGTGGGGAGAGCCCACTCATTCGAAATGCTCTCATATGGTTACGTGTTTATGACCACTTCCTTCTCGCGGCGGTGTTGTTTACAAATTTGAAAGGAGAAAAAGCGAACGTTCAGCAATTAAACCGAGCTGGTGGTTACAGAGGATCCATTTGGGGGAGTTAGAAAACCCTGATCCCAAACTAATGGTGCATACGGACCCCAGAATTTTTAGGGAACAAGTGGCATATAAATTTATTCCTGGTCATCGGCTACCATGGGGCTGCATCTCCCAACATTGCTCCACTGCCTTGACGATTAGATCTCTGAGTCAAGGGCTCAGAGAGCGACTTAAAAAAACCACCCGTTTGGGCTTTGCCACCCGGACAGTATTTTAGCCCACACACAAAATGAATGATAGCTACTTTGTATGGCGCACATATTTTCTGGTGCCCCATTTTGTACCGATGTTTATGTGTCTGAACAATAAGCACAAACTTGTAATCAATAGTGTTATCCATTATTATCATATTTTGATCGGTTCCTTTTGAATCGTCCGTCAATTTTATTCCCCAAATTAAAGGTATTAGTTATTACGGCATCCATAAGGCTTTAGCGACCTCAAGTGACATATGTTCACCTACTCAACTAACACTCAGTTCAACTTGGTGATATATTATTTTGTCAACTGGTTTTCTTTGCTCTTCATATGTTCGAAAAATCTAGTGTAGATATACCTCAAAATTTTATTTAACTGATTTACTTACTTGCATAGGCTATACTCGTCTCTAAATCCAATTCAAATAATTTGATTGGCTTACTTACTGTATTTTCAAAATAAAATTGATTAAAGGGATTTTCGACCTTAGTGTTAAGGAATTTTAGTATTCCTATTATAAAAGTGATAGTCGGAATATTTAAAAAAAGTGTTCAAAGTAACTAACACGTCTATATTAGATTTGGTTATCACGTCCATGATCTTTCACTCGTTTTAATTCAATAAAATACGTACCATCTTTTCCCTCGCATACTTTTCTAAAATATAACTGAAACGTAACCCAAGCATAATTATTAACCTGTTTTCAAACTTTCTAATCTCTTTTATCATTCTTTTGTTCAGGATTTCAAGTCGATTTAAAAAGTCCACAGTTTCAGCGAAATGGACCAGTACATACACGTCTTCGATCATTTTTCAAGGCTTTCACTAACCCCTTAGAATTGGGCACTCGTATCCCTCGATGCCTTGGAAATCTTGGTCCTTTCTTTGTTGATTGGTTACCAGATTCCTCAGTCACACAAATAAATGAATTCCCTAAAAGTGAATCCATTGCTTCATATTTAAATGACAAAGAACATCTCGTGGTACGTTTTATGGAACGGTATATTCATAAATCTTCATTGAAAAGCATTATTTACCCCTATACTTTTCAGGTTTACAGATTTGCAGAAAATATGTTTATATTAACTTAAAGTGTTGACTAAAGTGAACGTGTACTTTATGTTTTGCAGTGAGATTTTCTTCCGCACAAGTAATCGGAGATTGTATTGAAATGGTTTTCGCAACATTAATAAGGTGCTGAGTATTTGTTCTCATTATCCTCCATTTTACATACGGCTACGTTAGTATAATCTCTAAATTCTTTAAGCACTTTCAGTGCATTGCAATTTGTATCATTATATAATAGTGGATCAATGACTTGGTGACCAACGGATATGAATTTCAGTCATTCAGTTAGAAGTTTAAACTCCTCTCCAACTACTCCGATCATTCCATTTGGATAAAACCGCTAGCCTCCACTCACGTAAAATTTGAATGAAAGTCGGGTACACAAACTGAATAGCATTGAAGTTATAGAAATATGATAGACAAACTAAATGTGTTTGCACTACATTTGAATAATTTACTGATTCAATAATGGTAATGGTGTTCCTAACATACTTTTGTAATCTTGCTCAGTTGTTACAATATGTCAGTAAGATGATTTCCTTCAGTTAATCCTTACAAATTCACTAAGATTAAAACGCTTCATCCAAAGACAAATATACTTAATTGTTGTAACTTATATCTGTTCTGTAAATATTTTGTATTTATAAAAGCTTAGTACAATGTTAGTATTGTCTATTGATTTATGTATATCCAAATCATTATCAGCTACATATAGATTTATGTTTATGAACGAGCTAGAAAATTGGATAATTACTGTTACTTGATAGTTCCATACCGAATTATGTTACAAAGTAAACTTTCTCCAACAGATCTGTAGTCAGCATTTCATTTATAGTAATATTTCTTATTTAGTGTTTAGACCTCTAGTTGTTTCACAAACGATTTTAAGTCTTTGATTCTTTTGATGCTCAGAAATTAAGTACTTTCGTTTGTGTTTTTTTATCCCTCTATGCATATGAATACTTACTTGCTTGATAGTTTTTAAGTATTCACTCATGTCCAGTCCCACAATGCTTATAACTGAATAACTTCAAGTGTTTACCAACAGTTACATCACATCTTACAAAAATCACTTTATTTACTACACACTTGACTCGAAATCATGAGTGCCAGTCACTGTTATGGCTTTTCGGGATTACTATTCAACTGTAATTTAATAGTTGATAACTATCTTCTGAAAACTAATTGAATAGTTTCGTACACTAATATTGAATTAACTTTAATAAATTCATTCAAAGATATTTTATTATTTCAACTATAAGATAACCCTAAGATACAAAGGTTAGACTATTAAACTATCAAGTTGCATTATTTCGGTGAGAGGGAGAAAGCGGGAAGAATGTTATAATCGGTATCTTTTTTATGTTATTATTTTTCCCCAATAAAGATCCGACCACAATGTGAGGTGTTTAACTACATTGGATCACCTATACTAATACCAGAACTAATTTCATGGAACAAACTTCCTCTAAAACAAGAAGAAAATTCATGCACATGCACAGAAATAGACAAAACGTCAGATTTTTTAAATATTGTAAATATTCGCTTAGGATTAACAGTTTTATCTTATTTAGCAGCTGGAATTTCATTTCCTGATTCAGCTATTTCAAATCGTGTTCCAAGGTGAGAAATTATCATTAAATGTTTTGAAAATGTTAGAAAAATTCCAAAAACAGCTTCACTTAAATAATGACAATAGCAACAAAAAAGTAGTCAATGTGTTCCATGTAAAAGTGCACTTGATTGTAAGCTCTACATCTAAATTTTGTGGACGTTGGGACGCAAAAAGTATCCCTTAGCACACATGCACCAGTCACATTCGTTATTATATTTCAATTCATTTGGCTCATTTTTAAAATCGTATGGCCTACCAGTGAGATAACAGTTTCTTTAGTGATTGAAGGGAATCAATGGATTACCTCGAATCTAGGTTCAGTACAATATTTAGAGATCCGGTACTCCTCGTGAAACTCAAACTTGTGTCAGGCTCTAATACGACCAACAGGGTTACTACTGTGTTATTCGGACAGCAGCCGACTCCGTAAGATTCTGATTACTATGAAGGCGTTAGTTCTACGGTAAGTCCTATAAAGACCTAAATTTGCCGTAGTTACCTCCAAAACATTACCTTTAATTTAGTCACTTTATATATCATAGTATAACTTCACCTCCATACCGCATTTATTTTAAAACGACACTTGTATATTACTATACTGATATTGGTAGTAATAATAGTCCTGTTGGTTGTTTAGTTTTATTACTAAGATCTAGATTATTTCCACTACCAGTTCAACTAGTGTTGTCTAACAGGTAGTGCATCTTTCGATACTTTGCTTCCAACTCCATGTTCGGACATTCGTCCGAAAGTTCCATTCAATCTGACGGTGAGTAACACCTTTGCAAGTTATTGTCTTTTTGCTGGGGATGTATTTTTTGAGATATGTGACAACAACGATTCACTCAGTCGGTAGTTACCGTAAGCTTACACTTACAAAAGTACCAATGAATTCTAAAAATAATTCACTTTTTGCCTATATATGGGTACTACCTAACCACTGACAGCATTGTGCTACAGCTCCGACATTAATGATTACCTTTCATTTTTCAACTGGTATTTCAATGTTCCAAAATTAAAATCACTACCAATTTATTTATACTAAATATGTTCATCAACATTGTAAACTATTTTCTCCCATTTATAATTTTTTTTCTAGTGATAATCCATGCTTAACAAATGCAAGTCTGTCACCAATTTATGCACAAACTATAGATGAAATTCTGTTACCTGTCTATAAGCTGGAAAAACTGAACATTATATGTCTATCAGGTTTATTTCCGGATTGTTGTTACGATGAACTGGAGGATAAAATAAAGTATGACTATCAGTATTGTAACTCAGTTATGCTAAAAACGTTTTCATCCATATACTTAGGATTTAGGAAGTGAATTATAAGTTATAGAACATTAATTTGTTCTGGAAGCGAAATGTAAACATAGCTTAAATTCAAATACTTTTCGTGAGATTAGAAATAATGTGATTTTTATTGCATTCCGTAACAAAACATGCTAAAACTTTGAGTTCAATACCAATTCATAATCAGTGTGAAGAAGAAAATGCTCTCTTTGTTCATTTGTATTGTCAAGCCACTTAAAGTCTAACCAGTAGCCGTAAATACGCATATATATATATATATATATATATATATATATATATATATATGTTTTCTAATTATCATGGTCTGTGCGAACACTAATAGTGAAGATTCGAACTATGCCTAACTTGCACCCAGAAGGTCATACGCATTTGAGTCTTTACTACTGTCATGGCTTTTGAGATGAAAATTCTTTGGAATATAGTCAGTGAACCATTTAGATGCCTATCTTTCCAATGTACACGGTTTTGTGCGAACATGTAAAATCACAAACTGATCTAAGTTAAACAACCATCTAAAAGCTGAAAGCACTGGACGGCCATTTCCCTCTGGTATGGAACTCCTCAACGTTGCCCATTCTCGACCTACAACCAGAAATCGAAACCACGACGTTGAGTTTCACGGGCAAACCTTTTAATGCATGTGGTACTAATTGTGTACAAATCTAACTTAAATCAATTAACGATATTGCGCGACCATCTTCCACTGTCTTTAATGGATATCTTCCTCACATCTAACTTTAATTTCACCGGTCGCGGCCGTCCAGCGCTTCTAGGTTTTCAATGGTTGCCCAAGTTAGATCGGTTCGTGATTTCGATAAAATTCAACTATCTCAACAGTTTCATACTAAAAATTATTATCAGATTATTGATCCTCATGTTATTTAGCGTGGAACTGACTTCTCTGTTGTGTGGCACTTTCTGTCTTTTGATCAGTTCTTGTAACTTGCTAAATGAAATTTGTATTCCTACATACCTATTACATTTATTATCTTAAATTTACGTTTATAGATCAATGTTAGCAGAAAGTCAACACGGGAATGAATTAGTTTACATGTGCAGATGTCCACTAAAAGTTACCACCGATTCAGTACAATCGTTGAAACAGTCTGTTAATCACTTAGGAACTCTATTTTTAACTGGTAGAAAACCTGTTTCAGATTCACAAGGACTACCACTTATTAAAATTCGATTTTAACATTTTATTTTTCCATTTGCATGTACATTTTTGCCGTTATTGGTAATATACATTCTTGAATTATATCTTAGTCCTTTTGTCGTCCTTAGATTTGGGATAATATTTGTAGTAGTGATAATAATGCGTAAATATGTTTTGCCTAGCGCAAATGTTCGTAAGCACTAGTTACACCAAATCAGCAAAACATATGAGTTTAACACAATGAATAGCGAACGAGTCAAGATGGTATACTAACAATGTTAATAAAATGGATTAGGCATTGAGAATATAGAAAAACGAATACTTAAACTCAAGATCTAGAAGAAAATAGACAGTTCATTCATCCACATCACTGAGACATGTCACCCAAAGTCTCCGAACGCGGACCCCAACCAGGTAATCTTCATCTATCAAAACGGTTCGACGAGCAATTAGTTCCTTCATAAACCAATGTTACTTCTTGGCCCGGACGAATTTAGCTTTCTTCCAGCTTGCATCACTCAACGCTGCGCGTCAATGTTGACACTAGTTGAGCATAAGTAATGCGCATCCTAGCCACAGTCGATAAAAATTCACAGCCTTCTCAACCGGCTTTCCGTCTTTGCTTAGTGTCCTATACCTAACCCCATTATCGCTCACTGGGTCGTTCCACAATACGTGACCAGTGCTTTGGAGATAATTATAGTCAAAAACCTTAATCTTCCATTTTTAAAGGCTGTTTCATAGGGTAATAAAGAGCTGACTGTTGTAAAACACCCATTGGTTGACAGATGGAGATCTCAGACTACAAGTAATGCAGGTTGGGAAACAAGAACCTACTTCTCCATAGTGGATATGTCGGAAATGAATAAACTAAAAAATCTGCTATGTATACAGAACAGCTTGTAATTTCCCTTCAACTTTGAGCCCCGAAATTATTTAATGACGTACGTCAGCAACCATGTACAAATTTGTGCATTCTCTGTGTGTGGACGCTCCCATACTCCAAAAAATGATGCAGGTAGTTGCATTTTTCACAATTACAACCCAACAGTTGAATGCCGAATGACTTACTTCTTCACTTATTAGTATTCAGTTAACTTATAGACTGGAATTAAGCTGTCCTCATAGACTTTCCAAACCCACTTTCTCCGATCGTGTGGATAGAAGCACATCAAATACTATAGGGTTGCGTAAAATGAATCACATTCTAGAGTTCTGTAATAAAAATTTCAAACTGTGCAATAGAGACAAATGAGAATGAGTGAGATATTTCAGTCTTGTGTTCACTTTCACAGTTGAAATCACGGGTTGATCTAACCTAGACCACCATTGGAAACTGGAGGGTCATTTCGTTCTAGTATAGGACTCAGCAGTGCTCATTCACGACCTCGCAAGCGGAACTTGAAACAGCCGTCCAGTGCTGTAAGGTTTTTAATTGTGGTCTAGCTTAGATTGACTCGTGATTTCAGTTATGGAAATACTACGACCTCCACAAGTCCACCATACCAATAATAATGTCCATTTACCAGTTGTTTTATTGACATACCAGAAGACACGTGTTTTTTCGGATACCCTCACATAGAAATGAGGCATCTTTTAAAAATAATCTACAACATAAAACGAATTTGATACAGAAGAGCTGAGAACCATTCCAATTTAGTAAGAATATTTTTATTGTTTCTGATCACTCACGTTTCACAAGAAAGAATATTAACGAATGCAATATATAGTTATGTACAAAATCGGTATTTTAACAATGATATATATTGCTTCTTATATAATTAATTATAAACCGAAAGCTGTAACGGCCTTATATTCGCTTAGAACAGAAACCTACGCAAGTTAATTCTTGTTCAAACAGGTATAAAAAAACGTTTATGTGACATTCGATTGTGGACAATGCAATAAGAAGACAAATGTTTTCAGAATTATGCGATATATTAGACTTTCAGGTAATATCGAAGCGATCGGCACAGGAAGCACGTATACCAAAAGAGACTGATCAGTTGCAGCCCTAAATATCATTGGGAAGCTCTAAACAACCAACATATATGAATAAAAAGCTTTTGACCTGTTCAACTACGTGTTTAGCAACAGAGGATGATAGATGTTTATGATCTCGTATTGGGTTATTTGATTTGTTTTTGCAACCATTTTGGTACCCTTATTCTCCTATTGATTTGTGCTTCTTCATGTAATTAATTATAGGTTTCTGTCTATGCACAGCTTTCATGAGTGATGCTTTATCCTGTCTCAATAGCTACTTGACATTATATTACTTCCCTCATCGATGCATGCAAGCCATATAACACTACGATAAGTCGTTTAATCAATCCATTCACTTCAATAATTAATCGCTACATCAATCCGTGCATCATATAATTCAATATACACAGGTTCCAGACCTTACTTCATAGGCTGCTGACGACACTGTTTGAAATATGTTCATTCCCGAAATATTTCAAAAAATTTTCGGTATTGCCTTATCAAGCAAATTCAAGCACCCAACAAGGAAAAACTAGGATCAAAAACATTTAAAATCAGGTTGAATTAATTTGGTATTCAATAAAGCGACCCAAAAAGATGAACAGTTAGTTAGAACGATCAGTTATCAGATTTAAATGATATATTTTCTAGGGGGTTTGACAGTAATGATACACGCTAACTGATTGATTGTAATCTTAATTTTCTATAATAAAAATTAAAATCTGATTAATTGACAAGGGATGAGAACGATAGAACACAGAAAAATAGTTTCAAGTCTATTTTTGTAATTATTTATTTTTATCGTAATGGAGACATGTACAGTACTAACAGATTTAGCGCCGTATATGTGAGTCGACTTAATAACCTTTTCAATAACTCAAGTAAAATATGTTCTATCTCATGGTAATGAACATGAAATAAAATATGAAAACAAAGGAAGAAGACAAATAAATTACAAGTGATACTTCAGTAGTTTGATTTGGACAGAGGCTCTAATAAAACTGTTATAATATGAGTTAATTGTTATCTAACAACACAATACTGAAGAAAGAATTAAGTTAAATAATAATCATATTTTATTGATCTCTTTGATGATTGGCTTGAAGCAGTCAAGTTAAATGTGACTCATTCGAACTTGTTGAAGAATTTTCGACTCCAGATATGCACGATGATGTGTATGTATTAGGTACTTTTATACTCTCAAGGCTAGGTTTTAGATTTTTATGATTAATTTTTTCGCCATTGACATTACGTGTTGAATACCCTTCAAGAAGTGAATTTTCAATAATTCCAACTTTTTTATCAGTAGTTATTTCTGCTGTTGGACATTTAATATTTGTTGAATTACTATGATTCCATAATGCTTCACAATGAACACTTTGATTGCTGTCAGAAGTATTGTTGTGTTGATGACTCTCCATATTTGATCGTTGTACAATTGTAACTGCTGTCATTTGCATTGACCCTAATGGATTTAATATGTGTTCACTTGACACTTGGTTACCTTGTACATGGAAAAGAGCCTGTAGAACAAATAATGATAAAAATACGTTTTACACTACAAATAAATTACTCAGTATTAATTTAAGTCATTATTCTTATTCTTTACAGATGGCCAAGTCCTATCAAAGGACCTCGCCGAACCTAGTTGCCAGACTAGTAAAACCATGCATAAAACCCAAAGTGTTTCATTGGTTATTTTCAGCTACCTAATATATGAAGTACGCCGTTTATAGTAATATTTTGATTATGATAAATGTTATACACACTAAGTAATATGTATATCTAAAATAATTCTATAACTAACCAAAACACTCAATACTTTAGTATCAAGTCAAGTGTCCAAATATTCAACCTATTATTATTTTCCACCGAACATTAACCATATATTTCTATCGTAACATTCATCTTGCTGTTTTTGGTGGAGTTTTGTTCTCTGAGCTGGATGGTTTGGTCAAAGAACAAAACTCCACCAAAATCATCCACCTAAGCTACAAATCTTCTCCACCATTCATCTTGCTGTACCATGACAACATTGTAAGACAGTAGTAAATGATCATACAGAGACTATTTCGAGAAAAATTATTGTTGATTCCGGAAACTCGGTACTCCATAGTGAAGATGGAAATTAACAATAATAGCAACATAACCCATTCCTTACAGATTATTTTACCACATGGTACATTATCTTTGTAGAACACAATCAGAACATTGAAACTCCGAATCCCACTATCACACTTAATAGTATTGCAGTGAACGAAAAATCCAGGTGGAAATAACCATTTTGTTGTTTAGTGCAAAATTGCAGAGTCCTTTCGTAAAGTATGAAAATCATACACTGAATACATAATTTGCATATTTTCCATCAGTTGCCTTTTACATACTTCATCATTCTTTGAACCCTATTGTGATTGCAATTACTCCCTGCTTCCCTTTCTGTTCTCTTCCATTAAATCTTCTCAATCTTTGGCTAGCACGCATTCCACTTCCAATAGGTGATACATGTTACTGATATCTGTCAATATAAGTAGCATACACCACACTAGTCCTCCCCCCTTAGACGGTCATCCTGATTGCCGTGTCGCTTCCCACCTTCTTTTATTTTGCGCTACGCCTCCCGCAGAAATTTTAAGCCAGCCGGCGTGCTGACCTCCGTAGCAATGTCGACCCGCTAGGCAATTTACATCAGACATCCTTCCAGTGCTCGGACGTAACACTCCTCTCCGTCAACCAAAACGCCCTAACTAGCACCTCCTCATTTGGCCTTACTACGGGGCCCGCTTGACTTCACCCTCTCCACCTCTCCTTTGGTAGTTACAATAAATGTAGGGAACGAAGACTTCAGGTGAGGAAACCCAATTTATTGTTTGATGCACAATCACATAGTAGTGTAGTAAAATATGAAAATCATAGATCAAATATATCATATGCACATCATCTTTCAGTTGTCTCTCACAAGCTTCATTGTTCCTTCATTTCTTTTGTTAGCTTGATTACTTTCAGTTCTCTTCTCTCTTTTCTTCATGCCAATCTTCTCAACCTTCTACTCGCAGACATTCCACTTCCAACTGGTGTTTCATAATACTTATATTTGCAAACATAAGAAGCATGCACCAC